AAATCACATTAATAACTGATAAGCACTTCTTAAATAACTGTATGTCTTCCAGTCTATATTTTGATTTAGTAAAATTACAAGTTTTATTAAATACAAGCTTTAGTAAAAACAGAAGACAACAGATTTGGTAGCAACTAAAATGACTTAATACTCTACAAATTATTAGAAATACAGTTCAATTTAAAAAGAATAAAACCATGTTTTCATGCCCAAAGCATAAATTGAAGGTTTTGATATGCCTACTATGTGGTCAGCAACAAATGCATAAGTTCTATGAAAATAAAATTTCCTTGTATTTGTTTATTAAATAAGCATACTAAGAGTCAGGCATTGCTCTAGGTGCCTGAATATGTCGCTATAAACAAGAAAGACAAGATAATAAGATAGATAATATAATAGCTTATATTCTAGTTGCAGGGCACAAACAATAAATGAATCTACAATTAACGAGGTACCAGTAAGTGCCAAAAATTCTCAGAACATTATTTATGAGCAAATAACTGGGTGCTGTAAGAAGTGACACCTTTGTATATTAATACCTTTGATGATATTGTATATGATACATACTGAGAAATGTATGCTACTCTGAAAATAGTTTTAAAAGAAAAGCAACCCATGTAAGTTAGTGTTGAATAAACATTTTGTTTTAGATACATAGAGATGCTGACATTCTGATAAATAACACTGAGTATTAGAAATTTGTATAAATCACATTACTATTCAAAAATGTCTACAATAGAAAATGACAATTTTGCAGTCAATAACACAAAATCTGCTTGCCCTTACTACAACATGCTTAGAGTTGGATATTTTAAGATTTGTATTCTGGATTATTTGTAAAAACACAAACACATACAGTTTCATACTGCTTTAAAGCATAAAACAAATTCTCCTCCAACATTTAACAATAACCTTAGCTGAAAACATATGTAAAAGTGGTCTGCAACATGTACAGGTAAGGGAAATTGGTAGGAAGACACAGACACTGATGACGTGGCCAATTTAAGTGACACAGATTTATATTACTTATTGCAAAGGGATCGGGAAAAAGAAATACTTGATTCTAGGCAACAGAGACAACAACTACAACTAGAAAGTATTGACACTATACCTTTCTCTGTAACTTCAAATGTAATAGCCAAGTACCCATAATATTTACTCAGATATACATAGCAACGAGTTCAAATAAATTAATACAAGGAAGACATGAACAGAAAGATGAGAAAAGCACAGACATTATGACCACCTGGAAAAAAAAATAGTAAAGCATGATTCTGGTTGAAACTAAATATGGTAACCAATTCTCCTGTCTTGCCTTTTCCTTTTTTTTTCCCTGTCAGGAAACAAGTTCTTTGACAGAAGTTATTACACAAAACCATTCAACCTCCAAGCTCAATGCTGCAGTGGTAAGATCAGAACACTATTAAAAAACACCTAATACACAGAATTGATAGACACTCTATGAAACACTTTGTATACTATTTTAGATTTCAACAATGGTATATATTTCTTATAAGTATTAATGTATCAGTTAACAAGTATATAAAATCATTAAGTTAAAGAGAAGATAACATCTCAGGTTTTCATATTTCAGTGCAAAAGTATGTAAGATATTGAGAAAAACACGAACATTTATGTGTAAAAAAGGAATATCTGTCATAATAGCTTATGAATGTAACTTATAATCTTTTAGTCAAAATAATGTATTTGATATAACCAATAAGCAAATACAAATAGACTGGTATATGTTATCTAGAAAGCTAAAAAATTATAAATAGGTTTTCTTTTACAAAAATAATTTAAAACTACTTTTACACTGCAAAGCTAAACTTCCATAAGAAAAAAGCTTTAAGCAAATTATTTAAAGCTAAATACTGATGACATTGACACAAACCTTCACACATGCACATAAACAAAAGATCAGAGAGCAATTGTTCTTGCAGATACACACGGATATACGCTAAATATAATAAATCACATACACACATTGATGTTTCTCGGACAACCCTAATACATTACTGAGAATAAGTGTCAACATTAGCTGCCATAATGCAGTTTTCCCATCTCTCTTACTTAAGAGCACAAATGAGCTAAATGTTCTTGAAATTTTTCTTTCTATTTTAACCACAGCCTAACTCTCCCCAGCTCACAAGCAATTATCTGCTTTGGCAGCTAATCTTATTCATCAACCTAACTGAATAGCAAAATGCCTACATGTTTGGTCAAACGTTATTCTGGGTGTATTCGTAACTCATTTCTGGACACAATTAAACTATTAGTCTGGGTATATTTGTAACTCATTTCTGGATGCAATTAACATTAAATTGGTAGTACATATCAAATTGTCCTCCTAAGTGAGCACCTGTCATTCAGCCATTTGAAGGTCTCCATAAATCAAAAAGGTGGGCCCTCAGTGAGTAAGCAGGCAGGCATTTTCTCCTAACTACCTTGAGCAGCGATTCACTGTGTCCCCTTGTTTGGACTGATATGTCTACTCTGTGTCTCGTGCCTGCTGGCATTTGGACAGCAGCAATACTGTCCACTGGCTCAACTGGTTTTCAGACCTTCAGACTGACACCAGAACATGGCCATCAGCTCTTCTGGGTCTCTGGCTTGCCAAACACAAACCTTTGGAGGGTCAACCCCACAAACAAGTGATCCAATTATTTGTAATAACTCAGACATGCACACAGCTCTGTTCATCTGGAGAACCTTATAATAGTCTATGTACTTATCAAATTTCTAACAATATATGATGATATCAATAGCAGAACAAGATTCTCAAATAGCTTGATGTCATTTCATAACATACAATAAATCTTTAAAACTCTACACTTTCATTACACAAATACATAAATGGATTAATCAGAATTATATTCAATGACATCCTCAAAATACTGGTTGTAATGACACTTGTGAGAGAGTCAATTAGACACAATCAAATAGCCAACAATGGGGAGGATTAAACAAACTGTATCAAAGGATATATCATATACTCAATTTTAGGTAATTACCTAAAATTATATCTTCAAAGACTAGTCAAGTGAGAAAAAACACAATGGGACAAAATTATCAAGAGTAGAAAGGGTAAAATAGCAACAATAATTTCTAAATAGACCAATGACAAGTAAATTCTAGTTTTACATATTTTCTATAGTCAGAGTATGTTACTTTCAAAATGAGATATAATGACTGAACCTTAAAAAACACTATTAGAAATTTTGGGTAAAAGTCTATAACAACTCATTTAAGAATTAATGACAATTATCAGCAAGCTACCTTTTAAAACAAAATTTCAGATTCTACAAGTTATTTTATAATAAATTATAAACACATATAAACTGTTCTGATGAAGATTTATATATATTTGAAAGAGAAGTCTTTTGTCTGTTGGCACACACCCCAAACAGCTCTGCAGGTTGAAGTCAGGAATTAAGAAATCGATTTGATCTCCCACAAGGGTGACAAGGGCCTAAGTACTTGATCCATCACTTACTGCCTCCCAGGGAGCATATCAATAGGAAGCTGGATCAAAAGCAAAGGCAGGACTCAATTCAGGCTGTCATCTGACAGGAAATGCGGATATCTCAGTGGGCAGCTCAACTGGCTGTGCCCTAATGCTCACCCTCAGATCTGGGCTTTTGAAAGAAATATTTAGCTATAGACAAAGCATGGATTCAACTGAACTGTGTTTTGCTTTTTTTTCTTTTAATTTTCTTTTCTTTTATTTTTTTTATTGGAAAGGCGGATATACAGAGAGGAGAGACAGAGAGGAAGATCTTCTGTCCGATGATTCACTCCCCAAGTGAGCGCAACGGCCGATGCCATGCCCATCCAAAGCCAGGAGCCAGGAACTTCCTCCAGGTCTCCCACATGGGTGCAGGATCCCAAAGCATTGGACCGTTCTCGACTGCTGTCCCGGGCCACAGGCAGGGAGCTGGATGGGAAGCGGGGGTGCCGGGATTAGAACCGGCGCCCATATGGGATCCCAGGTGTGCAAGGCAAGGACCTTAACCACTGTGCCATTGCACCGGGCCCGAACTGTGTTTTTTCTAACTTCATCTGCTGAAGCACAGCCCCCAAATGTAATCATGTTTTGGAAGTACGGCATCTATCTATCTATGCCTAGTTTTTCCATAGTACTCATTTTCCACGAACTTTTTGAAGACCACTCATACAACTACGAAAGCAATTTTAGTTTTACATTTACTAAAAGTGATGCCACAGCAAAAAAAATACTCCTTTCCAAGTTAATGTGTGGGCCAGTGCTTTGGCATGGCAGTTTACGTTGTAGACTGTAACACCCACATCCCATATAGGCACTGGTTCGAATATAGACTGCTTCACTTCCAAACCAGCTCCATGCTAATGTGCACTGGAAAGCAGGGAAAGATGGACCAAGTACATAGGCCCCTTCCACATATATGGGAGACTCAGATGGAGTTCTAGGCTCCAGGATTCAACCCGGACCAGCTCTGGCTACTGCAGCCATTTGGGGAAATAAAACTTAAAACATTTAAATAAACATTAAACTTAAAACATTTAATATGTGAGTTTCATTTTCTCTAAATTGTAAACACCTTGGTTTTTGAGAATTTTCAACAAACAATTTAGGAAATGTATTCAAATGCAGAACTCGGTTTTTAAGCTTTTTAAAAAGATGATTTATCTATCTACTTACTTATTTGAAAGGCAAAGAAAGGGTGAGGGAAAAAGGAGGTAGGGGAAATTGATCTTCTATTCACTCCACAAAAGCCATAACGGCCAAGGTTGGATCAAAGCTGGGAGTTCAGAATCCAGGTCAGGTCTCCCATTTGGGTAGAAGCATCCAAATCACATTAGCCATCTCTGCTGACTCTCAGGATCTACACTGGCAGAAGCTGGAGTCAAGAGCTGGAGCTGGGCATCAAACCCAGGCACTATAGGATCAGAGAGCTTTACCCTGCTTCTCAAACACGGGACAACACATCTGACACATCACTCTGATTTTTCACAATTACCTTGTCAGGGTCCATATTTCCTTTGATAAACTCTTGCTTCCAGAATTGCAATGCTTGTTCCAACGTTAAACCAATGCCCTTCAGGAAGAGGCCATACTGCATTCGCCCTCCATGACGAAGATGGTGATTGTCCCGTAAGGCTTTATGTAACTGGCGCATGCAAGGTGGGAATGACTTGGTAGAAAACTACAAGTGAAAAAAATTAAAATTTTTGTTGTGTGCAACTCTTAAAAGAAGCCCTATAATATTTGGCATTACTAAAAATTCAGTCTATTCGGAATAAGACTAAAATTGTAAGTATTATTGTGCCACTATGATTAGGAGTTAAATTTTCCGTAATATCTTTACATTGGATATATATAAAAATTATATTATTCTGGATATTCTAAGTTACACAAAGTCTAAAAATTTACCTTTAAAGAAAAAGACAAAAGAAAAAGACATTCTAATTGTTATTCTTCTAAACATCCATAGATTCATTTGGGTTGTAAGAAATAAAACAAAGAGATAGTATGTATCCAGTTTCAACAAAGAAAATACATTGCAAAACTATGGTAGATTCTCCCAATAAAGATACTGACTTTGATATACTCTTCTAATATTAAATGCCCAGGTGGACCTAGTTCTGTGTGTACTTACTCATCCTACATGTGTAGGTTAATGCAATTCCAAGAGCAAAATAGTTCCATCACCACAGGATCTCTCAGGTGGCCTTATAACAGCCACCCCCACCTACTTCTCACCCCCCATATACTTCCCTGTTTGTTTCTTGTCAATTACTCATCAGTTTTCCACTTGCATAATGTTTCTAATTTCAAAAATATTCTACAAATAGAATCATAAAGTAGGTAATTGGTTTTTTACTCAGCACAATTCCTTCAAGATATATATGATTGTATCTAAACTGATTTTTTTGCTGTCAAATGTTATCCCATGGTACAGATGTACCACAATTTGTTTAACGACTTACCATTTTATTATTTATACTTGTGATTCTTTCCTCCAGTTTCAGCCTCAAACAAAGATATTATAAACACCCTTTTACAGGTTTATGAACACATACATTTTATTTTTATTTCCCTGAGATAAATGTCCAAAAGTACAAATTTTGATTAACCAATGAACTTTAAAATAATGAATGAAAAGTATTAAACACAAAGTAGAACATAAAAAGACAAAATGGTTCTCTAAAGGAAAATTCAAATATATTTGTTGAAGATATTAAGAAAAAAAAACATTTGTGCTTTCTTTAATGTCAAAACATAAACTATCATATCACTGCCCACTTTTTTTAATTCAGTGGTTCCACTTAATCTCAGTAACACTCTCTGAACTCCTCAAGTACGGTCCAAGAACTAAATTCTTCTCACCCCGACTTGTCAGCAAATTTACTTTATAAGTAGAATTGCTTCTCAGCTTTCTGGCTGAGATTAGGTGCCAACAAGCAAGAAGCAGTTCCTACAGTGCCTGACTTCGCTGCTCCCGCTCGTGACCATTTGGTCTCTGTTCCCATTCATTTACTGTTTTAGAATAAAATGGGGCTGAAACTATGGCTCAGTGGGTTAATCACTTGAGCTCAGCATCCCATTTTGCCTTGTCCGAGTTCCGGCTACTCCACTTCCAATCCAGCTCCCTGCTACTATCTCTGGGAAAGCAATGGGAGATGGTCCAAGTGCTTAGGTCTCTGCCATGTCAGAGACCTGGCTGGAGTTCTAGGTTCCTGGCTTCAGCTTGGTTCAGCTCTTGGTGTTGCAAAGCATTTGAGGCTTCAACCAGTGGATGGAAGATCTATCTTTCTCTCTTACTCTGCCTTGCAGATAAATAAATATTTTTTAACATGTGAATAAAATGAAAATTTTTCCATTAATTAGGACAAGTAAAGGAAAAAGACACCACAAACATTATATTCATTATTATGCAAGTTTAAAAACAAATCATATAATGAGGCTCCAACAAGGGCATAAATCAAATACCATGGAAGCACTGTGATTGAAGGGGAAGCAGAGCCACTAGTTTGTTACTGTGCCAATTATAAATTTATTGCCACAGCCAGATGGGTTATTCACTATCCCATAATCACAGACATATTTCTTACCTATCCAATTTTCCCAAACAGAAGGCACTGCCTGGTACACCCTTCCAATCCCACATCATACAATCAAAGCTGAATTGTTCTTCAAGACCCAATACAGGGGCCAGAATCGTGTTGCAGGAAGTTAAGCCACTGCCTGCAGTGCTGACATCCCATACTGAAGCACTGGTTTAAGTCCCGACCATTCTGTGTCTGATCCAGTTCTCTACTAACAAGCTGCCTCAGAAGGCAGAAGATGACTCAAGTTCTTGGACCCCTGCAACCCACGTGAGAGTCCCAGATGGAGTTCCAGTGTCCAGGCTTGATCTGGTCCAGCCAAATCCATGGCAAGTGAATAACTAACATGGAAGATCTCTTTGTGCTTCTGTATTGTCTAGTGTCTTTGTGCTTCTGTATTGTCTAGTTCCTCTGTCACTTTGTCCTTCAAGCGAATAAGGCAATTTTCAAAAGCCCCAATTCAGCTTCTGTTTCCCCCATCTTAATGTCTTAATTACATTTTACTCATCTAATCACCAAAGGTTTATTGAATCTATGGTGAACAAAGTAGTGAAAAGTCCTGTCCTCACAGAACTTATACTCTAATGGGAGGAAATACACATCATATTTGATCCCAAAAGTTCTGAAAGTAAAACAGATATGGCATCAAGTATGAATGAAGAAAGGTACTTTAATCTGGATAATCAGAGAAACCTTGCTGAGTTGTTTATTATTTTAGCTCACATTTTAATTTTCAAGTTGACTTCCAACTGAGTGAAGATATAGAAGCACTGGTGCCATGAAAAAAAAATTCCTGAATGTGGTGTGCTAAGAGACAGCATAAGGTCCAAGTAGTTGCACCATAGTCAGTGAGCCAGATTGAAGCAGAAGTTACAATTACAATGATGAGTACATATGGCTTTATAGGCCATAAAATGAGCTTGGATGTTAGCCTAGATAGAAAAGAAACCCAATAGCGGGTTTTGACCAGAAGAGTAATATGAATTACAAAACAAAGAGATCTGCCTGTTACAGAGCCAACAGAGGGTAAAAATGGAAGCAAGAAAAACACTTAAGAGATTTTGGTAGTACTTCTAATAATGGAAATGGAAAAGCTAGAGTTCAGGGTTGGCCATAATGAGAGGGGAAATGACTGCAAACAGAACAGATAAGGATTACAAAGCCAGGATTTGGGATAAATTATCAACACAGACATGTCAGAGGCAAAGATGACTAACAGGAATAGTGGTAGTGCAAAAGTTCATTAGCTGGGCGATAAAATCATCAGTAAATAGGGAGAGGGAAGCAACAAAGGGGCTATAATACAATCACAGGGATTTAAACGAGTTAGAGCTCTGATAATGGAAGGAAGGTAAAGTAGAGCAAGACAGACTTTTACCCTGAAATCCTATTCAGTAAGGAGAGCAAAGCAGCCTCTGCTGAAGATGCTCACAGAAGAAATCACATCATTAAAGGAGTTGGATTTCATCAGAAGAACAATGGAATGGCAGCATTTGGAAAGGACACATGGAGGTCAATGAATATGATAAAGACCTGATCTTGTGAGCATCAGGCAATATAAACACAGGAAACAAATCAAATAAAATAACTGTATTACTTAACATGGGGTCCGACCACAGACTCACATGATGTGATCATCGCCTCAGTAGTTAACATAATTTAGAAACATTATTTCATGAAATTATATGGCCCAATCATTATTTACTATGTTATCTATCTTGTTCAAGCAGCCCATGAAGGTAGGAACATTTTCTGTTTTAGCCACCTCAGTGTCCACAGCAGTGCTGGTACAGAAAGGATGAGTTCAGTATATTTTCAAATGAACTGATGAGTATATTTCTATGTACTTCCACAGCACCTAATCAGGTTTACACATACTTGTAAAAAGGGACGCATCTAGCTATATGTAGAAATAGAACCAATCATCAACCACTCACATAATATTAACAGATCATATGTAGGAAAGGAGGAGAGGGAGTTTTGGAATGAAAATATGAGAAAAACAAAAAAAATTCACATTTACTTGCACAAGATAGGCAAGTCTATGCTTATTTTTACACATATTAACTGCTCAGCACTTGATAATTTTTCAAAGGAAAACAGTATACTTTTTGTGGTCTCTAAAAACTCAGTTTCTCTCTAAGTAACCTTGTAATTCTTGTTTCCAAGCATTATAATATTGTTATAATTTTCACAGTTTTACTTATTTGAAAGAGAGAGTGGCAGGGTAAATAAGGGAGGAAAGCAGGGAGGGAGGGAGGGAGGAAGATCCAAAACAAAGAGAACACCTGTCAGCTGATTTATTCCACACATGTTCCAACTAGTCAGAGCTGGGCTAGGAGATGGAAACTCCATCCTGGGCTCTCCTGAGGCAGGGGCAGAAATGCAAATACTAGGCCCATAATCTGCTGTCTGCCCGTGCCCGTGAGCAGGATATTTGATTGGAAACAAGCAGCTGAGACAGAAATCAGAATTCTATATGGAGATGTAAGCATCCCAAATGTTACTTAGCTTAATCAAGTGCAGCATAAAGCTAACTCCAATATCAGTGTATTTTTAATTTATTGTAAATAAATTGCCACTTACCTAAACAAAAATTATTCATACTTGGTCTATTTTTCCTTTTGCAAATGGAATACAAATTCTGTCATGTGTTAAGCAGAAATCATACAAATTATAGCCAAATAAACTCATTGTACTACTAAATTACAAAGTGAAGTGAAGCTGAAATGAGCAATCCACTTATGGCAACCTCGGGATTGTACAGCCTATACTAAGAATGAGATCTGTCCCTTAAATTTATAAGTTCAAACAAATAATACATCATAATGTCAATGTATTTGAAGTTAGGGCTGTTCAAGAGGTATCGAAGCTAATGAGGGATTGGAGAGGAGGCCCCTGCCCAGGGTGACTAGCACCCTTGGAAGAGCAGAAGAGGTATTTGGAACACGTACACAGTGGAAAGCAATGTAAAGGCACAACAAGAAGGAATCTTAGTACAATCCTTCTGTCACCTTGATCTTGGACTTCTAGCCTTCCAGAATATCAAAAAATAAATTTCTATTGTGCACAACCAATCTATGATACTTCATTATGCAGACCAGACAAATAAATACACTTAGCATTTTCCAGTTCTCATTCCCACAAAGTATGGCAACACTTCAATATAAAATTCATGAAGAATTCCCTTCAGGATTAACTGATTAAATTCTGTTTCTTTACAATAGATTATTCTCTAATTTAGTTTTATTCTCTTCATGATTTAAAAGAAATCATTTATAAAGGATATGGGACTTTCTGCAAAAGTGATTGACAAATTATGATATAATATTCTCTTCCATTTCCTTCCTCAATGACTAAGGTCTAAGTTTAAAAGAACATGAAACTTACCGAATCAATCTGATCCAAGGAAATCTTCCCAGTATTCCCCTGTGTGTTATAATCTTGACCAGTGTAGGAATGACTGGGGGGAAAAAACAGACAAAATATTAAAACAACACTTGTACAATATGTTTGATTGCCTCAAATACAGTTTTTACATTTCTTTACACAGAGCAAACAAACTTCAAAAACTTTATATACATAGCTTCTTTTTTTAACATTTTATTATTATTATTATTTTATTTTATGATATAGTTCCATAGGCTCCTGGCATTTCCCTTATCCCCTCCTCAATTCCCTCCCCCACCTAGTTCCTCTATATCATTACTAAAATATAGTTCTTCATATACAGTCATATGTCCATCATTGCAGGCATGAACAATGGCAGAGGGTCTAGCATTTTATTGTCAAGCTATAGCACACAGTTTCATTATAAGTCCATCTTTGTCTAGAAGTAGAAATGCATACTACATTGCATCCTCACATCTGGATGTTAGTCTCCATTTTACAACTATTATACAACCCCTTAAATGAAAATTCATAATACAAAATCAACAATACAAAGAAAAACAGAAATTTACAATGCCATAACGTTAAATGACATGTTACTAGATATGACAGTCTCCATTACACAGCTACTATACATCCCCTTAAATGAAAAGCCACAAAACAAACTCAACATCCAGGAGAAAAAAGAAATTAACAACACCAAGAAGTTAAATAACATGCTACGAAATGCCTAACATGTAACTGAAGAGATGAAAATCAAGAACCTTCTTGAAGAAAATGATGCCACAGCATGATCTACGAGTCATTTTTGATTTAATCAGAAGGTTGTTGGCGGCGCTGATCTTGTCAAACCTGTTGGACGTTAGGTCTGGGTGCCACACAGACCTATTTTGACCCATTGGAGGCCATAGTTGGTATTTTGCTGCGGGACCTGTGCGAGAACTCAGTGAGTTCTCGTGAGATCACCACATGTGCAGTTCATTGTTGTCCCCTGCAATCCCAAAGTTATTGCCACACTGTACAAAATTGCGCCTGACGTACCACCACTACTACAGTTCTTGATCTGCTGGCCATCTAATCTGAGGGCTACCCAGACCTGTGTTGGGTGGAACCTGTAGAATGCCACATTGATGCACTTCACTGAGTCAGAAATGAGCTCACTCCCAGCTCAGTGTATGCTTAGTCCTTTCCCTTGTCTTTGCCTCTTATGCAAAATGGTGCCCAATTCAGCTCTAGGGGACTGACTGGGCTGTGAAATCCACCCTGTTCTCACACTGCCCGTTTGGGATCTGCTGCTCTGTCTCTGCTCCTGGTCAAATCAAACAGACCAGCAGGTCAGATAGTTCTTTGCCTGGGTTCATCTCCCAAGCTCACAGTGCAAGTCCCTTCCCATTTGGTTGCTGGTGGTGTTCTGGCTGCTGGTGCAATTCAGATGGCCTTTTGCTGAATCCCACAGGAGAATCAGTCACTGCAATACCACACCATTGTTTTCGCTGCTTTCCTGTGTCTGTCAGTCTCCAGGTACCCCTCTGCTGTTGTTCTGTCCTTTCCTATTGCCTGAAATATGTCCTCTCTGCTTCATCCTGAGTAAATGTTTTTCTGTCAATTTAAACGTGTCCTTACCCTATTCCGCCTCTTGATTCTTCTATACATAGTTTTAAGAACATACTACTTCCCACCCTTTTATCCCTCCCTTGCACCTACCCTCTATCACCTTCGTTTTTTATTTTTCTTCTACTTTTTATGATATACTTTCAATTTGTTTTCAAATCAGAAGATTAATACTTCACTTAAGAATGAAGTAGCAAGCAGAAAATCACTATTAATAATATAAACAAGGGCTACAAGAAATAACCAAATCTCAAAATGAAAATTTCACACATATACACTGTATTTTTTGTTGTATTCTGTACATAAGCTACCATAAACCAGGGAAAACATGATATTTGCCTTTGGAGGACTGCATTATTTCATTAAACATATAGGTCTCCAATTAGATCCATTTTGTGGCAGAACAGAATACTGACACCACCATTTATTTTATCTATCCAGGCTTCAGTTGATGGGCACCTGGGTTGATTCCATATCTCAGCTCTTATGTGTTAAGTAGGTATAAACACAGAAGTACAGAAAACTCACACATATGGTGATTTCATTTCCATTGAGTAAATTTCGAGGAGTGGGATGACTGAGTCAATGGACAGATCCATTTTCCAGACTTCTGAGGCATCTCCACACTATCTTCCAAAATGGTTGCACTAGTTTCCATTTTACCAACACTAGATTAGGATGTGTCTTCCCCTCCAAATTCTCACCAGCATTTGTTATTTTTTGAATCCTGGAAGACAGCCATACTAACTGGAGTGAAGAGAAATCTTACTGTGATTTTTATTTCTATTTCCCTGATGTTAGTAACCCAAGGCATTATTTCTCATCTGTCTGTTGGTCATCTGTTTTTCAGCCTTTGAAAAATGTCTTTTCATAAGCTTACCACATTTAACTGGATTGTTGATTTTACTACTAATTTTTCAAGTCCTTTATATGCAAAATATAAATCCTTTATCAGATACATAGTTTACAAATGTTTTCTCCCGTTTTGTTGGTTGCCTCTGTTTACGTGTTTGCTTTGCTGTGTTGCTGCTTTTTAGCTTGACATAATCACATTTTTCTGTTTTTGTCTTTATTGCCTGTGCCTCTGGAATCTATTGCCAGAAGCCTCTGCTGATTCCCATGTTTTGCATTTTTTCCCCTTATGTTTTCCTCTAGTAATTTGATGGTTTCAGGTCTTAGATGTAGATTACTGATACACTGTGAATTCATCTGCTTTTTTTGTTTGTTTGTGGTGGTTTTTTTGTTTTGTTTTGTTTTGTTTTGTTTTGTTTTGGTATAGAGTAAAAGCTGGGGCTCTTCTTTCATACTTCTGCATGCAGAGATACTAATTTCCCAACAAGACTTATTAAAAAGATTGTCCTTTCTCCAGAGAATGATTTTAGCTCATATGTCAAATGAAATTTTTTATTCCAATAAAGATTAAAGGCATCATAAGAGAACATTTTACATAGAAATCTTGGCAGAAACAGGGACAAGTTTTAAATATATTTGACAAAAAAACATTTAAGTAACTTGCATGGATTTCATACAAAAACATAGTGGCAGTCTGGCTCTACTGATTGCTAATCCAGGGCACTGCTTTCACTGCTCAAACCTTTATGTATTTTTTAACAGCACAGCAACACAATAAAACAGAAACTGGAATTTAAATCAAGAATAATCTAATACAGGATAAAAACTCTACCTAGCAGAGCTGATAAAAGTGATTGGAAATAATCTGCTAAACAGCCTGACACACAGCAATCACTATTTATTGATATAAATATATGCTTACAAGTAGATAAAATGAATAAACTGTCCTTATCTACATGTTCTAATTAGATCTCCATAACCACACAGAGCAAATATTTATTTTGGGTCTTGTTCTTTGGTTCTTGTTTCACTAAGCACAAAGTTTTCTGGGCCCAGTGTGATGGTTCAATGGCTAAATCCTCGCCTTGCAAGTGTCAGGATCCCATATGGGCTCCCCTTTGTGTCCTAGCTGCTCCACTTCTAATCCAACTCTTTGCTTATGGACTGGGAAAAAAACAGAGGATGGCCCAAAGCTTTGGGACCCTGCACCCATGGGGGAGATTCTGAATAAACTCCTGGCTTCTAGCTTCTAGCTTCAGATCAGCTCAACTCCCGCCAATGCAGCCATTTGGGAAATGAACCAGTGAGTGGAAGATCTGTCTCTCCTTCTTTTTGTAAATATGCTCTGCCTTTCCAGTAAAACTAACTAACTAACTAACTAACTAACTACTTTTCCAACCTAGAAATAATTTAATCCATTACTTGTTTAGTCACAAGCCTCTTGATTTCATCAGTGGTGAACTGGATTTCTTTCTCAGGAAATCCAGGGTTTGTTGCCTTTGGCAAAAATAAAGATGCTGGAGAGGTAAGAGAAAAAAGATGCTTCCATTTGCCTCTTCCATGGGATTAACATCAAAAGAGCCAGCAATCACTGTTGGTAAACACAACAATTCTTCCCAGGTCAGAAACTCAGATCACCATTCACAGGCAGATAACTGTCAAACCTAGAGAAATGACAATCAATCTCCAAATCACAGTTCCCTTACTTGATAAGCAAATCCAGAGAGTGAATCTAGGCACCATGTGAAGGGTCCCCCTGTGTCTACGGAGTTCATGCTTATCAGGCACAGCTGGTGCTCAGCCTCCTGGAGAGTAGAATGTAACCAAAAGCAAAGAAATCCTTGGTTTCATAGCTCAGACAAGAATTTTCTCTCATCTTGTCAATGCTCCTGACATCCATAAAACCAGCAAGGTGAGTTACATTCCATCAACAATCTTAATGAACCGCTGCATAATGATTTTCTTTACTTCATTTTCCATCAGGGCATATTTAAGTCTGATCCTTAGGAAAAAGATGAAAGGAAGAGGACATTTTCTGAGCTTGTGGGGACCAGTGGGTGAACAAGAAGCAAACACACTGGTAGATTCATCTAGCATTTGATGCTCTGAATCTGTTACTTAGTTCTGACATGCATATTGAGAGCACAAGGCATGGCTGTGCCAGGCACGGAAACAGGCCTGAGAGTTTTGATTTATCTGATAAATGCGTGAGTGGAGGGCCAGAGTAGTCAGAGACTCATTAGGAGCAGACAAGCAAGCAATGCAGTGAGAATTAAAACCTTCGACATGGAAGTCCCTGTTGCTTCACTATATTATTCCATCTTCTGCTCTGTAATAAATTTTCCTATAATATTATTTGCAAATAAGTCAATACAACTTACTGATGTTCGCTAAAGCCATCTGCCTCTATAATACTTTATCTCCTTGACATAAAACTCTACTTATACCCAACATCCTAAATACAGTTTTAGGAATAGTAATATTTAACAGGGCCAAAACAGGGACCAGATAACAAAAACACAGACACACAAACACAATCAAATTCTGGATTTCGCAAACACCACAATTAAAGGGAAATCCTGGGGTGTAATATAATTATGGGCAAAAAAA